GATGTTGTACATGTATGTTTGTATAGATAATGTTGGCTTAATTTTTGGTAGAATAGTATAAATAGTCCGCATATTTTAGTATAGGCATTGGTACTAGTTAGAGCTACTCATAAGGAGCAAAAGTTTCTATAAGACTCAACTATAACAAGAAGCTTATGGCATAGGTGCTACAACAAGGATCAGGGCCGGCCTAAGGGCGGGCGAGGTGGGCACTCGCCCTGGGCCCAACATTGGGCCCTAACTTGTTTTTTTATCTTTTGATGAAGTTAAAAAAATATGTCTGCATATGTAAAGATTTGAATCCATGCCTTCAAAATTATTTATTAATTTTAAATCTACTTAACAATTACAACCATTTGATATACTTATTTTAGTTAATAGATATATATTAGTGAACATTGAATTAATTTATAATTACATTTCAGGGGCCCAAAGTTTGAATGGACACTACTCCAAAGCTATTCTAACATGTTTTTTTATAATAACCTGGAGGGTGTCGTTGAGTGGAAGAGACTCATTCATCCTTAACTAAAGGTTAAGGGTTCGATACTTGGCTTTGGGAATGGAGTAGTCTTAAATCTCTAGGCCAGTTGTCCCACTCAAAAGAGGTGCATACAATTCAGCGAGGGGATTAGTCACTGTGTCTGACGATGGAAACCCTGGGTATACCTAAAAAAAAACATGTTTTTTTTTATAATAAAAAAATTATATGTTTACAAACTTTTAAAATAATCATTTAATTATTTTCAATTAATCCATACAATCTTTTAAGGCAAATTATTCTGTAGACTCGGGTCCAAAATACACAATTTACATTCTGAATGTTCACAATTTTGTAAAATGTAAATTGTGAACATTTAGTAGGTAATTTTAAACATTAAGTATGTAAATTATGAACATTCAATATGTAAATGATTTATTTTCACTATTTTGGACTCGGGTCCACCTTGCAAGGTGGACCCTGATATATCTAGTGATCTTTTAATTTCCTATATTAAGGGTCTTTTTTTTTTTTTGCCCCGGGCCTATAAAATGATAGGACCGGCCCTGACAAGGATGCCATTAAAAGTCAACTACGAAGAGGTTGAAGACATAAATGTGGCCTATATACACTCTCATGCGAACGGCCGCCCATGAGAGAACTGAGAACCATCCCGTGCGCGCCACATGTCCTTTGGTGCATGTAAATGTGTTATATGTGCAAGTAGTTGGTGCACCTTTGCAAGTAAAAAGTGCAGGTAAAATCACTTGCACCTACTTTCACCTACAAGTACATGTAATTTTGCATTGTTAACATTTATTGATCTGAGTTCGTTCTGTTTGACATCGCTTTTGTTCTTGCGGAGGAGTTCAGCGAGTAGTTAGTACCCGTAAAAACCACCCGCAAACATTCATGCACCTAGGTACACCTACTTATAACTATAGGTGCACCTAGATCTGAACACGTGACGCGCGCGGGATGGTTCTCAGTTCTCTCTTGGACGGTGGGCGGCAGTTCGTACCTGAACGCGATTCTATCAGTGAGTTCAAAGGTGTTGACAAGTTGACCTCACATATAGTTTGGAATTCAAGGAAGAGGGAGTGAGTCAAGATTAATGTGAATATATATATCCTTCTTTTTTTGGGGGTGAACCGAGGGTTTTCACCGTCGGACACAGTGACTAATTCCTTCGCTGAGTTGTAGGCACCTAAGCTAAGGATCGAACCATTAACCTTTGGTTAACGATAAATGAGTCTCTTCCACTCAACCACACCTTCCAGGTTGAATAGATCTATCCTTTGACTCTCTCTCGAAGAAAGCTAAACTAAGATAAGTCATTGAATATCTTGAGTTAGAATTAGACACAAACTTGTGATAGTTCTAGTCTTAATGTAAGACTTATTTGGGCAGAGAGATGACTTGCATGAAGGAATTTTGTGGTGGCAATGATCGAGGGAAGCCTCAATTCGATAGTAGATATGGTCGTCTTTAATCCAATAAATCAAGATTTTCAGTAGTACAATGTCATAGATTTTAAGAAAATGATCAATACATGATTTAGAAGCGGGCGTATATATATGACATGCATTCACACTATCACCATTGCCTTTAAAAGTTAAATTGTATTTATATTAGTACAAATTAACATCCCTTTTTAATATGGAGTATAATATATCAAACTTAACCTCTCACTTAGAAAAAGAAAATTCTTAATTCATTTTGATTCGACCTAAGCCGAAAGTGGATCACATTCAAAATTATACTTCAAAATGACCACTTTAAATTGTCATTTTTAGCTAATTTTTTCAACAAACATTAAGCTACCATATTTGATGGTCTTTTCGGGACTAGGTCCACCATAAATCGGGTATGAAAGTACATAACTAGAGTAGAAAAATAGTAGTATTATTGTTCGGGGTGCTAGACCCAAGTATGTACAAAGCCCAAGATACTGACCCAAAGAGGTATAGTAAATAATACAAGCTATAGCCCAAATAATGAACTAGAAATAATAACACTGCTCCTAGGATCGAACCCTGATGTATGGGTTGTAAGCTAGGACCACAAGCCACTGAGCTAGAAGTGTTGTAATGGTTAGACTAGGTTGTCCCTCAGAAGGCAGAACACCCCTTCTTATGAAGCACCTCGACCCCACAACGCCATCCACATATACAGTTCCAAACGTGCCTCCTCTCCACCAACCACGTGTATGCCACGCCCAACTTGTGCCAACCTCCAAGTATACGTAACATGTGCCAACTTCGCCGAAGGGGCGCCAGAGCCACAACGGGGCATGCTCCACCCACACCAACCACGCCATAGCAAGCGGAGACCAATGGACCCCAACACCAGCCCCTCGCCACCCGACTGTGGGCGTCCATGGTCATGCTGTGGAGATGACCCAACGAGCCGGGCCGCACCCCCTCCACCCACCCCTACCAGCCCTCGCCTCTCTACTCCATTGGGCAAACCCGCCTGATTCCTAAATCCATCTTGCTCATCATAAGGCCACTTGACCAAACTGAGCCCAACAGACAGCCCGCAGCCCATATCCCCATCAAGATTGAAGAAGCCGAGTGAGTTGCTTGTGCATGTTGCAAAACAAATTGAAGAAGAAGCAAGCACTGATGAGACTGCAATTTATGAAATAGAATATACGAAACAAAACAATTCATCTGCACATCACCAAAAATAGTACATTTCTTTAAATAAGTTGCAAGTATAATGCAGTTTAAATACAAAACAAGGAATAAGAAGCCTATAACAGAAAGATATTCAAGCTTCCTTCTGCCAACTCTGTTTATGTGCTGTGACATTAGGCTTACAAAACCTGCAAGAAATGCAGCTTAACAGCTGAACTGACATTTTCAAGATTAAGTTGTGATTCAAATTCTCTACTTTCAATTTGGAGAATCTACTTCAGAAAAAAAAAGTCAGGGAAAGACAAAAATAATGCAATTTGAAAGGGTATAGAAACTGATAAACCATCTAATCAGTGGGTTTATCATGTGGCGGCCGTGTCCTGCTAGTGGCACCACCAGATGAGCTTCCAGGCTCTTGAGATTCAACAAGCTTGCGCAGCTGCTCTTGAAGACCTCGGACTCTATCTTCAGTTCTGCGGAGCTTCCTCCATCTGTAGGCAAACCAGAGACCAAACCCTCCATACACAACGATATACGAACCCCACACATAAGGGTAAGTTTCTGCATTCTCTTTGATCTTGCTATACTGTTCTTGGATCCTTCCCACCCAGCTACTACTAGATGAGCCTGTCCCTTGCATCTCTACATGTATTGCTTGTTGATCATCTTCTCCTTTTTGCTGAGTAGCCATAATTTATAACAGGTCCTGCTACTAATGGGTCAAGTTCAATTCTAAGTTGCTTGGCTATACCAGGAAATAAGCAAATTCGATACTGGGGCCAACTGTCAGCAAAAAGATAGTATTTCATTAGTACTAACTACTATAAGGTATAAAATGAGCAACAGTTACTATGTACAAATATGGAGTACTAGTTTCAAAGAAGTAAAGAATTCAAGAATTCAATTTATCTAACTTGAAAATATACTTCAATAAACCAGTAAAATGCATTTGGTATCACTCCATATAAATGCTAAAGTTCACAATGGCTCATATACCCGTGGAAGTAATAATATATTGCATGCCTCCACGTCAAAGATACTATTCTAAATATGAGATAGCAATGGTAGAGTTATCTATTCCATATGGCATTAAGAAGAGTAATCAATTCCTTACTCTATGTTCTCAAACTGGCAAAACCATTTTGGCTGCCAAACTAACAATTAATACTGTTTAGAATATATCTAATTCAATATGGCTGGATGCTCCAAAGAAGAGATGCAAAAGAACAGACTCCCTACCTACATTATGAGATGAAATAAAGGCATGGATTAGGAAGGATTTATACGTGATAGCAGACAATCTGCACATTGAACCGCATAAACCATGTCCCCTCTTAGAAAGCAAAATAGGAATTTAACTTGCCAGTTGCCACTAGAATCAACTACTCCAATCTTTTTCATACATATAATTTTTTTTAACGAATTTCTGTCTCCAATCTTTTTCACTCAGTAGGGAGGTGCTTAACTGCATTTAGAGCATCAATAAACAAGAATTTTGAATAGATTGTTATATTAGCAATTAGTAGAGTTATATACTTCTATTTACTCAACAAATAGTCAAATACCTAGTAATACTTGTGAACGAGAAAACACAAATTTAGTTGGCAAATCGCATAATGGTCTACCTGAAGCTAGGGCAGCGGCAAGAAGGGGTATGGACTATGGAGAATGGACAGTCGACAAAGAACAACAGGGGCTCATAATACACTACCAAAACTCAGATTTAATATAGATATATAGATACAGCACATATCTCATTTTGATTCGCTCACAAAATTTATACAGAGTATATAACTACATACCAGAATTTGAGAAAATAAGATTTTATATTTTGAATTGTGCTTACGGAGGTCGGAGGCTGTCGGTCGGCGATCCAAATGGTGGTGGATGGCATGGCAATGCAGAGAGGGAGTATTTAATTTGAAATTTCAGATCTTCAGAATAATTGAGAAAATTATATAATATTCCATACAAGTTTCATATTTATAAGGACTCTAGGATCCTTCAAGAATCAAAATTGGAAAAGTTGTACCTAATTGGAAGTTGTCTAATCCTAGATGAGTTAGGATTCTTACTTAAAATCGAAATTGAAAAAATCATCCCTAATTGAAAGTTGTCCAATCCTAGATGAGTTAAGATTCCTAATTCTAAACAGAGAGGTTGAACGGGGTACTTATAAAAGGGATTCTCATGTGTTTGAAGAGCACCAATCTTCTATTGTTTTAATTCGCAGTTTTCATAATTCAGCAGAGCAGACGAAATTGACGATGTCTTCTAACAAGATGATCATATTGAGGAGTTCCGACGGGGAGATATTCGAGGTGGAAGAGGCGGTGGCTCTTGAGATGCAAATGATCAAGTACATGATTGACGATGAATGTGTGGACACTACAATTCCCATCACCAACGTGACTGGCAAGATCTTAGCTAAGGTTATAGAGTATTGCAAATCACATGCCGAAGCCGCAAAGACTAGCCAGGATGATCTTAAGGACTTTGATGCTAATTTCATCAAAGTTGACCATAATACACTATTGGATCTCATAATGGCCGCTAATTTCCTTAACATTAATAGCTTGCTTGATCTTACCTGTCAAGCTGCTGCAAATCTGATCGAGAAGAAGACAGTGGAGGAGGTCCGCAAAATTTTCAACATTCAAAATGACTTCACACCTAAGGAAGAAGAAGAAATCCGTAAAGAGAATGCTTGGGCATTTGAATAAAATTCATATATATTTTTTAGATGCTAGCAGGACTTTAGGATCAATATCATAATAATAAATAAATTTATTTCGTCTGATATAATTGCACTGCATTGTTGTGTTGTTTTCGTATTGAATTCAATCTATTTTATACTTTATGTAATTCATTGACAGCTTTCAAAAAATAAAAATAATTTTTTTTAAAAATATTTTTAACGAATTTCTGTCACCACAACCCCTAATATTTGCTGTCAAGCTAAATGGTATGTATCATGTATGTGTATTAAAAGAATGCACAAGAATAAAATAGCATTCATCTACTTTGTGGAGTAAAGAGATTGTTTACAAGGTAATAATAGCCTTCAAGAAGCTTAATATCAGCCATAAAGCAACCCAACAACATATTATTCCATTCAATACTGAGACCTATATTGTAGACCCAATTAGTTATAACCACCTAAGTCAACTGAAACATGATAAAGAACATTTAGCTCAGCAATCCTATGGGAAATAGGAATGCCACTCTGTTCTAAATAGAACTTCCCATTATCTAAACAAATACTCTCATATCCGGTTCTCAAGTTAAAATAACTAAATGCATTAGTGTATTAAGTATGAACATAACACCATGATTTTCTAAAGTATCAAAGTAATTTAAACAAAGTATAATGAAATATCCACGCTCCATCACTAAAGCAAATGTCCAAATAAGGAAAAATTTACCACCAGAATGGAAGCAGAAGCACATGATTTAGGTAAAGTGTATCAAACCAGGAGTATACATCATGCATTCTAGGAGTTATTCATAAACTTAATGCCTAACTTCTGGAGTGCGCATAGCTAGAATTTGAAATGCACACACCAATTACCAGGAAATACTCAAATGGACCTAAAAATACTTGCAATATGAAAATAAACTCAAAAACTCGAGAATGTTTTCTGCTTATTCAGTAACTCAGTAGAAAACTTGGATTCCAAATCTTCATAAACAATTTCAAATGGAACTAATTATAAACTTGACCTATCAAATAACAAAATATGAAATCACATCCAGAAATTGAGACACTGAACAGTCATTTCCACCAATGGAGGGATAAAATAAAAAACTTATGTATGAGCAAGACTAGGCAGTCAGAACAGGCTGGCAGGGCGCATTAGTCCGTAACCTGCCATTTGTTATGGCAGGCCAGGAAATCTTCAACCCAACCTGCCTAAAGTTACAAAAAACAAAATAATGTAATAAAATACCAAACAAAAAATGCAATGATTAGTCTAGATAGTTCTAAAGAAACTTAATACGAAGTTCAGATAAACAATTACATTCAGTCCATGTAATGATGTGAGAACATTTGATTGGCATTATTATTTGTTGAGAAACCACATACAAATTAAAAGTTCAATGGTCAGAAATTGCATATTTCTGTTCTGCACGTTCAAAAGAGAGCTAGCTACCCATTCCAACAGCCCTAGGCTAGTACAGTATGATTTTAAAACAAACAAAAGCAATATCAGTAAACAGCTAGCATTATCTATGTCATGCAAGATGGGCTATGGAGAACGGACAGTCGACAGGGAACAACAGGGGCTCATAATACACTACCAAAATTCAGATTTAGTATAGACACAGCACATATCTCATTTTGATTTGGTCACAAAATTCGTACGGAGTATATAACTAACTATATACCAAAATCTGAGACAATGAGATTTCAAAATTGGAAGTGTGCTTACGGAGGTCGGAGGCTGGCGAGGTTGGAGGCTGGCGGTCGGCGATGGATGGCAAGGCGGTGACGGAGTATTCAATTTGAGATTTCAGATCTTCAGAATAAGGTTTGTTAATTGCTTGTGAGTTGTGAGCTTCAGACCGGCTTACGTTTCGGAAAAAGGCTAGCCGGCGGCCGGCGCTCCTCGGCGGCTCTGTGTGCTGCTTGCGTCTAGGATTTAGGACTTCACAAAAGAAGGATTTTAGAAAGAGTTAATGACATATGGTACTTCGAGTATAGAAGTTAAAATTAGATTTAAAAAAAAAATAAATTTAAAATTTAATTTAGAGGACCACAAATAGTTAAAATTTAATAATTGAACGTATAAAATGATTCTTCAAAGAATTAAAATTGAAAATGTCATACCTAATTGGAAACGGAAGTTGTCCAATCCTAGATAAGTTAAGACCTAATCCTAGATAAATTAAGATTCCTAACTCTAAACAAAGAGGTTGACCAGGATACTTATAAAAAGGGATTCTTATATGTTTGAAGAGCACCACTTTTCGATTGTTTTAATTTACAGTTCTTAATCTTCAATAGAGTATACGAAATTGATGATGTCTTCTACTAAGATGATCATATTGAAGAGTTCCGACGGGGAGATATTCGAGGTGGAAGAGGCGGTGGCTCTTGAGATGCAAATGATCAAGTACATGATTGACGATGAATGCGTGGACACTACCATTCCCATCGCCAACGTGACTGGCAAGATCTTGGCTAAGGTTATAGAGTATTGCAAATCACACGCTGAAACCGCAAAGACTAGCCAGGATGATCTTAAAGACTTTGATGCTAATTTCATCAAAGTTGACCATACAACACTATTGGATCTCATATTGGCTGCTAATTACCTCAACATTAATAGCTTGCTTGATCTTACCTGTACAGCTGCTGCAAATCTAATTGAGAAGAAGACAGTGGAGGAGATCCGCAAAATTTTCAACATTCAAAACGACTTCACACCTAAGGAAGAAGAAGAAATACGTAAAGAGTATCCTTGGGCATTTGAATAAAATTCATATATATTTTTTAGAAGCTAATAGGATTTTAGGATCAATATCATAATAATAAATTTGTCAATAACATAATAATAAATAAATTTATTTCTGTAATAGAGTCAGTAGCATTCAAAAAATAAATAAATAAATAAATTTATTTCGTTTGATATAATTGCACTGCGTTGTTGTGTTATCTTCATATTGAATTCAATTTATTTTATACTTAATTTATTGACAACTTTTAAAAAATAAAAATAAACATTTTTAAATATTAATTGTTAAAAAATTACATATAAGAATGAATTGAAAATTTAAAGTTTAATCATTATTATTAATTTTTCTATCATTATAATTTTATAATAATTTTGCTATCATTTTGTTTTTTATAAATTTATGTTTATTCTAAGTTGAACGGATAAATATAATATTAACATGTTAGATAGATATATGCAGAATGATACACTGATAACAAAATTGATTACTTGGTAAGGTAGCGTGGGTTAACAATATATTGGTGGTGTTTGGTAAATGGTTGTTAGCCTATAATTGTTAGCTAATTTGGTTTGTGGACTTAACTAATTGATAAAATTAGTTGATTATAAAAAAATATTTGGTAAATTAGTTGTTAGCTGTTAACTAATTATATACAAAATGGCTTTCTCAAAAAGTTAATCGAAAAAACTATTTTGAGTAGCTTTTTGAAAAGATAAGTTGTTACAAAAAACTAATTAATCAAAACACTCATATTAATTGTTTAACCAAATCAAACAACTAGTAGTAGTGATCAAATAAGTCAAAATTGACTAATAGACTAACTATTTTACCAAAATGACCATTATCTTTTATTTTGTAATATAATATTAATATGTTAGTGATTAGATTAATTATTATTATTAAATATTAATAAAATAAAATTTGAGTTGGCATAACACATTTTCATAACAATGTTTTCCTTAGAAGTCTAACATAACCTCTAAGATGAGTTTGATAATGTAAGTAATTGAACAAAACAAGTATTTTAATGTACAAATTCAAAAAAGCCTTTTTGGGCCAAGGATTCCAATACTTGTTATAATTGATGTACAATTGCAAAAAAATTAAAATACACAAAAGCATATAATATAATAACCTCACATGTACTTTATCCATTCAACACCCAAACAAGATTAAAATGTTTGCGAGATTAGTCCGCACAAACTTAGCTCAATTGTATAGAAAGCAGTGTTAGGAAAATGGAGAAGATTAAAATGATGAACAAAACAAAACAAACACTACTACTACACCTCTAAAACTCTGGTGTAATATGATTCTACAAGTGAACAAAGAAAACCTGGAGTCTAAAACCAAATCTGGAGTTCATGTAAGAACAAGAATGAAGTTCTTTTATGACCTCTTGACCAAGATTTGCAAAATAATCATCACAATTCACATTACTTACCCTCACTCGGTGATACGGTACTCAAGCCAAGACCCTAACTCCACCACAAAAGCTAGCGCATGAGTGGAGGGGTTTGGCCCCAACTTAAGTACCACTCCACAATCTCTTGTGGAGCCGATGTGGCGTCCTATCATTGCCCACCCCTTGAGAAGCCGACGTCCACGACGGCTTACTCTAGATGGCTCACACTCTGGATTCTTCTCGGCACCAGGTAGCCCTTTTCCCCTTTGGATGGCTTCACTCCGGACCTTATCAAGCACCAGGTAGTCCTTTTCTAGGTCGCCCACTCCGCTAGGCCGGCACCAGATGAGTGGACGGCTTCACTCTGGATAACTTTCACTCCGGACTCTTCTCGATTCCCTTTGAATATTATCAAGTACCGGGTATATTAGTGGTTATCCACTTATCCCATATAATAATAATAATAATAATAATAATAATAATAATAATAATAATAATAAGGGAAAAGGGTCAAATAGCCCCTCGAACTTTAGCTTAAAAGTCAATTAAGCCCCTAAACTTTTTAAAGGTTCAATTACACCCATCAACAATTCATTTAGGTGCAATGAAGCCCAAAAATAAGTTAATGACCTGCTATCACAGGTCATTAGGGTTCAGGCCACCTTCTGGCGAATTTTCCAACAAAAAAAAGGTGACTAGCAACCGACCTAGATTTGCCAAAAATTTCGCCGGTCACTTCTTTTGTCGAAAATTTCGTCGGTCACTTTTTTTTTTTTTTTTTTGCCGAAAAATTCGTCGAAGGGTGGCCTGAACCCTAATGACCTGTGATAGCAGGTCATTAATTTGTTCTTGTTTTGTTTTGGGGCTTCATTGCACTTAAATGAATTGTTGATGGGTGTAATTGCACCTTTAAAAAGTTTAGGGGCCTAATTGACTTTTAAGTTAAAGTTCGAGGGCCTATTTGACCATTTTCCCTAATAATAATAACCATTTCATTCCACTTCCTGCATCTGCTGAATCATACCATAGTGGGGCGTTCTTGAGTCAATTGCAAAGAGGATGAGCTCCACGGGATATCTGACGACCCACATCCAAGTCTCCGTTTTTGCCTCAAGCCATTGTGCTCCATGGGATATCTCCATGACTGCAAATCCCATTACCAGACGACCCACATCCAAGTCTCTGTTTTTGCCTCAAGCCATTATTTCCAGGTTGATACTCTCAACGAAAGCACCAAATGATACGGTACTCAAACCAAGACCCTGACTCCATCACAGAAGCTAGCTCATGAGTGGAGGTTTGACCCCAACTTAAGTACGACTCCACAATCTCTTGTGGAGCCGATGTGGGATCGTATTACTCGGGGTGTATGCTATTTTGCTTCTGAACAATCCCTTGCAGCCTAGGAGGCGCGCCTAGATGATCATTTAATTTTATTTTATATACACTATAGTTTCATTAAAACACAACTAGATAATCATTTCGATATAATTACAGCTTCATTGTACAACATACACTCAAATATGTGAAATGTTATTCAGTTTCATTTTATATATACTGCAGTTTCATTTCACCACAACTACAATACCATTTGATATAACTGCAGTTTCATTTGATAATATAAAAATAATACGTGAAGCAGTGTCAATTTAGATACACTGTAGTGTCACTCCGTTAACAGCGCGTCGTTTATTTACTTAAAGAAACGGCGCCGTTTTGATGCGTGGTGCATAATCGATTATGCACCGCGATCCACGATATAACAACTGATTAAAATGATAAACAAAACAAAACAAACACTACTACTACACCTCTAAAACTCTGGTGTAATATGATTCTACAAGTGAACAAAGAAAACCTGGAGTCTAAAAAAGAACTAATTTCACTTTTGGTCCCACAACTTTAGAGGTTCTATCATTTTTGGTACACAACTTTAAATTTTTTTAATTTTGGTGTCTAACTTTGCTATTTTTATCAGTTTTGGTCGTTTCGACCAAATTGGCTACGAAATATTGCCAAATTTTACATTTTAGGGGCAAAATTGTCATCCTAAGGAAAGATCTTCAATATCTAAACAAAAGAAAAATCATATTAAGAGAAATATAAGAGTTTGTCAATCGTCGATGCTATAAATCTCATAGATTTGTGTCTAGTTTCTGTCCGTCTTCCCAATTATTCTCATCGATCAAACACCTATAGATATGATTTTAGAGTGATTTTGTTTAGATATTGAAGATGTTTCCTTGGGATGATGATTTTACCCCTAAAAATATAAAATCCAGCAACATTTCATCGTCAATTTGGTTGAAAGGACCAAAATTGATAAAAATAACAAAGTTAGGCACCAAAATTGAAAACTTTTAAAGTTGTGCACCAAAAGTGATAGATCATCTAAAGTCGTGGGACCGAAAGTGAAATTAATTCGTCTAAAAAACAAATCTGGAGTTCACAAGCTGTGAAAGCCGCACTTATGTCAAACATAGTAATGTTTTGATACATCAGAAAACTAAGCTGGAGTTGTGTTCTTATAAATGTTTTGCCATTTCTATAATTTCAATAAGCACTTTTGACTCTCTCCAAGGGTTCATGTAAGAACAAGAATGAAGTTCTTTTATGACCTCTTCACCAAGATTTGCAAAATAATCATCACAATTCACATTACTTACCCTCACTCGGGGTGTATACTGTTGATGCTTCTGAACAATCCCTCGCAGTCTAGGAGGTGAGGCGCGTCTTCCTTAAGTTATCACCCTCCCAACTTGTTTTGAGACACGAGAATTCATCTGTCATGATTTTACTAAAAGTAGCACTTCACTTGCATGCATAGTTAATCAAAATCCGTCCAATCTTCCATATAAGACTACATCATTATTTGCATTGAAGTTGGCCCGCATAAAATGCTTTTCTTGCACAGAAATGAGGATCCCTGTATCTCAGAGAAATTTTCATAAACGCACGAAGTAGCAGACGAATCAGGCAGACAGAAAAACATTTTTGTTCCAAGCTAACCCCTTGCATATTCATGTTGTGGGATCTGAGGAAAGACCGAGAAATCAGTGCATTCTTTTGGCTATTACACCATTAGACTATTATTATTCCATCTAAGTTCGGTTCAATAATCTATATTCCGCCACAGTATCATATGTCTCGAGGGCAAGAGGGCTCTCGGCAAAACATCTGCAAACACATCGAATCAACCATTCAAACATTATTGCCAGTAACAATGAAGCAAGCATGGAATTCATTTAAATACTATGGTGTTTACCTAAGCTCATGCCAAAACATTTCTGTTTTTTCATGCAAGAAAGGCCGCAGAGGAGCAAGAAAGTTAGAACTAGCTTGGTCCCTTCTTTCATTTCCCGAGACAAAAAGTGAGGTGACAACATGGACAATAACGGATGGATTGGGGTCATCAAGAATAGCCTCCAACTCCCTTTTTATCCAAGGTTCTATTCTTTGCATTACCATAGCTTTGGCACTATTGTTGTGTTCCATTTGCTGGAAGTTAATTATTGAAAATATTAGTCCCCAAGACTTAAAGAATGTAACGCAAAACCCCTAACTAAAACAAGACAGTAGTAGTTAATCTGATAATTGCAAGAATGTTCTGATGCATACCAAAATGTTATACCTCTATAAGACGATTTTTGGATGAGAAAGGAACAGCCTGCAATTTCCTTTCATATATGCTGCAAGAAGCATATGAACAATGTCATATACGCAGAAAATAAATATGATTATAATGATGAAAAGGATTAATATGAATTAGCAACCTGGCCCGCCATTGCAGTGTTCTCTCCCTAATGACACCGGCGTTTGCAGCTTCCAATTGGCCAAATGACCTCCTCCTCGGGATTACCCCCGTTCTCGAGTATTGGGTACTTAGTTCTGCCCTTCTTCTTCTAATTAACCTGATTAACATTTCATTCTCCTACTTTAAATTCATATAGACCATATATAGTAGCATAATACTAAGGGAAAACGAAGTTCAGAAATGATTTCACAAAATAGAAAAATCTCAATTAAAAAAAATAACAAATCTAGGTCAGAACAATACCTCAGTTCTTCCAAATGGCTTCTTCGCCTTGCTGGAAAACCTACTGGGCGAGGTCTATCAACCAGTGGGCTTTTAAATTTCTCCTTCTCAAGGGTTCGAGTAGAGAGATCAAATAGGAAAAGCCAAGAGCCAAATCCCGCTTTGCAAAGTGGACAAGTACGCTTGTAATCACTCCACTTGTGGATGCAGTCAGCACAGAAGGCATGCTTGCACAATGGAAGCAATGCAGCTTGGCTTGGCTTGATTTTACAAAGACATATTGGACAAGAATTTTGGGTTACGGCATCAGTGATTTGAGCCAAATCTGAGTGCTTTATGAACTTATGCTTGTATATTCGGCAGTGAGTACTTCTTTCTCGTGAAGGAGCCATGAACTGAAGGATAGGTTGGTTGAAGGTCCCTGGTTCAGCTACTACTAAAGCTGGTTACTTTGATATTGTTCTCTAATCCACTGAAAGGCAATTCGAGTTGATATTAGAATAGATGGTGGCATACTAAAAAAAATGGATTTGGCAGTATAACTCATTGAATACATGTCTAGATTACAGCAAAACTTGACCTTTTACTATGCTACATATGATTATGTCAACAATCAATTATCCAATTTAAAGCTACATGATTTTGATACAGAGCTCTGTGGGTTCCCTTAACAACCAAAAAGAGTTGTTAAGCAGAAGCAGGGACTCATATTCCACTTGAGCTTATGAAACAACCTAGAGCCACAGAAGCAGGGATTCCTCACACCCCACCCCTCCCTTCCTACACTGAAGATTCAGAGTTTGGTACCACAGTGAAATCTCGAATTCTATTTACTCATAAACAAAACAATCAAAATTTTGGCAGCATCTTAAGGGGACAGTTTTATTATTCTAATCCGTATTATTGAGCAATGATTTCTTTCCGCCATCAACATCTCGATACAGCAAAAAAAAAAAAAAAAACCCACAATTTCAATTTCAATTGCACATGAAAAGTAAAGAAATTTATGGAAACCCAAGAAATAGCTAGGAATACATGTTAACGAGAAAAGACAAATGGCATAATGGTCTACCTGAAGCTAGGGCAGCGGAAGGGGTATGGACAGTGGGCAAAGAACAACAGGGGCTCATAATACAGTACCAAAATTCAGATTTAATATAGATACAGCACATATCTATTTTGATTCGCTCACAAAATTCATACGAGTATATAACTATATACCACAGTTTGAGAAAATAAGATTAGGGAAAATTGTAATTTTATGCGTCCAATAATTTGTTAAGTAAATTATTAATGTTACTTTTAAATCACGAGGGGTTTGGTTGGAGGGAGGAAATTATATGGGAAAGAAATTGTAATTTAATGGGAGATGAATTACTCGAAATAAAATGAAAATTTAAAATTTAAATTTTGTGTTTGGTTTACTTCAATAAAATTATTGGGAATTTCAATTTCAATATTTGGTATATATGATAATTGAAAGTGAATAAGTAGTATAAAGTTCAAAATGTTCATTATATTATTGTTGTTAGGCATCAATTTTAGGTTAAAAATAGAGAGGATAATTTTGTCTCATCATTATCTTTTTTCTTCCTAAAATTCATGGAATTAAAATCCCAAGGGGTGCATGAGATTTTAATTCCATGAAAACAAGTGAATTGCAATTCCGTGGAATTGTAATTTCTTCCAACCAAACTAAGAAAGTTAGTGGCCTTTGGAATTATGTGGGAATTATGTGGGAATGGAATTTAAATTCCCTTCAACCAAACGCTCTGTTAGTGGTAGAAATGATTAAATGTTGTCTTTCAATTTTTAAAATGGTATATATATTTTACATTATTGTATCGGAGGAAAATTGAAGGGCAACATTTACCCAACTCATAATTCAAAAGTGATATTAATAATTGACATATTATAGAGGAACCTAAATTACAATTTTTTTCAATTTTATATTTGAAAAATGTACTTACAAAAGTCGGAAGTTGTCGATCGATGGTCCAAATAATTTTCAAATTGACCTTTAATATTTCATACAAATCTCTTTTTTTTTTTTTTGTATAAACCACAATGTAGTCCGGGTCTTTTTTTGTTCGTTTAACGGTCCAGGTCCACCCAGTTCGCTCCGCTATACAAGTCAAGTCTCATATGTATAAGGATTTTAGGCTCCTTTTAATAACAAAAATTGGAAAAATAATCTTAATTAAAAGTTCCAATTCTAGATGAGTTCATATTATTATTTAGAATCAAAATAGGAAAAAAAATCAACCATAATTAGAAGTTGTCCAATTCTAGATGAGTTCATATTATTATTTAGAATCAAAATAGGAAAAAAATCAACCATAATTAGAAGTTGTCAAATTCTATATGAATTAAGATTCCTATTTCTAAACAAAGAGGTTGAATGATGGTACTTATAAAAGGATTTCTCATATGTTTGAAGAGCACCAATCTTCTATTATTTTAATTTGCAATTCCTCACGATTTAGCAAAGTCAACGAAATTGATCATGTCTTCTATCAAGATGATAATATTGAAGAGTTCCGACAGAGAGATATTCGAGGTAGAAGAGGCGGTGGCTCTTGAGATGCAGACGATCAAGTACATGATTGACGATGGCTGTGTGGACAATGCCATTCCCATCGCCAACGTGACTGGCAAGATCTTGGCTAAGGTTATAGAGTATTGCAAATCGCATGCCGAAGCCGCAAAGACTAGCCAGGACGATCTTAAGGACTTTGATGCTAATTTCATCAAAGTTAACCATACAACACTATTAGATCTCATATTGGCCGCTAATTTCCTTAACGTTAAGAGCTTGCTTGATCTTACCACCCAAGCTGTTGCAAATTTGATCGAGAAGAAGACAGTGGAAGAGGTTCGCAAATTTTTTAACATTCAAAATGACTTCACACCTGAGGAAGAAGAAGAAATCCGTAAAGAGAGTCCTTGGGCATTTGAGTAAAATACATATGTAAATTTAGATACTAGCCAAACTTTAGGATATATATCGTTTTAGTTTATTACTACTTTATTTGATATAATTGCATTGCAGAATCTTTATTCATGAAATATTAAAATTATTATTATTTTTACTACCGCCCCAATATGATATAAAGTCGTATAAAGTCTATTCTTTTCTTTATGTCGTCAAAGACTCAAAGTGTCAAACTAAATCTATAATATTTCAAAAAATATTATTAATTTTTAATTATAAATTACAAAATGTCAAGTTGGCTCCATTTTTTTAAAATTAACCAAAGAGAACGGCGCCGTTTGTGGACCTTCTGTTGCATTTAATATTTTATAATTTCTAGAACGTTGTAATAATAACTTCCCAACAAAGTTAAACATCTTTTTGATTGCATAATTTTAAGATCATTTTCTGATTTTCCATTTCTGCTTGGGTGGTGGGTGTGTGAGAGATGGGCCAAGAATCGTTCATATACAGCTTTGTGGCTCGGGGAACTATGGTACTGTCGGAGTACACGGAGTTCACCGGAAACTTCCCGGCGATTGCGGCTCAGTGTCTGCAAAAGCTGCCATCTTCGAACAACAAGTTCACTTACAACTGTGATCACCACACTTTTAACTTCCTTCTCGAGGATGGTTATGGTAATCCTTCTTGTTTGTCTGGGTTTTTATTGTTCTTTTAATTTTGAGCGGTTGATCTCTTTCGTTTTGCTGTGATTTCTGGGGAGGTGGGGGAATTCTGGTTGAACTTGAAGTGGGGATTGTTGGATCTAACATCTTTTAGCTAAAGATTGAATCTTTATCCTATGTGGTTTTTAGGGTCTGCTTTTGAGGTTTTGATCTTTATGATGGAAAATAGTTACTAAACTTGATATAGGCACCAATAGGTACAAGTGTAGAACAGCTTAATTTTTAACTTCTGTTGCTGCTGTTTCTGATGTTGTTGGGATGTGGTGGTGGACATTAGAGGTGTGTTTGGTTGGAACGTGGGACTCGGAATCAGAATGGGAATCAAATACTTTGTAATTAGAATGAGTTTTGGCGAAAGTATTTTGGTGGTTTGGTAGTAGGTTGAAATTGGAATGATTACCTGATTGTTTGGTTATGTAGGGCCCTATAATCGGATTAAAGGTTTTAAAAATACAAAAATAAAAAATAAAGGCAATTGATGTTAACAGTGATGATGAAGTGAGTAGGCAATGTAGTGAGAAAGTCGATGAAGTGAGGGGGGATAAGACTGAATTAATGGAATGATATCTGGTTTAAATTGGATAATGAGTTTTGCAATTATAGGAGTAATCAAATCCAATACCTATGTTTTAAAAAGTTGTCAATCAAATAATATGTATGACTTTCATTACCATTCCTTGTGTCTAACCCATGAACTGAATACACCCTAAATTAAACCTTAGTTGAGGTTGCACGGCAAAGATTCATTTGTATAACTTAAAATCTTTTATGATATTCCTCCATTGATTTAGCATGGCCAATATGTTTAGTTAGTTTACTGAGAAGTATGTACAGGCTATTTTATTGCTTATCAATCTGTTGTATATTCAAATATGAATTATGTATAGCAAAAACTTGCAAGATATTCAAATGCTGCTGGGACATCTCAAGGTTTTGAACATTTGGCTTTGGTTGTAAACTAGGGTAATTGGAAATGGCTTGTGAATGTAGTTCTTGATTAGGGATTGAGAAATTTATTATACTAACTTCTTCAAGAAAAGAATTTGGTGAAAATTGTTGGGAAATCAATTTAGAAGGTTCAGGGCAAGTATTTCTGGGATATTCTTTATCTGCTCTCCCAAAGGGAGCCTTAGTTAAGGGCTTGTAGCCTAGGTATGAGACTCTACACATGAGGTCTTAGGTTCGAGACCCTTTTTATTGGCTGTCATATTGGTATGTAAATTTCCGCCAATTGAGAATTATTTGAATGATATTCCAAAGATCGTTGCAAGTTTGTTGAGATGATGTTTTTACGTGTCAGCTTATTGTGTTGTTGCCAAAGACTCGGTTGGCAAGCAAATTTCCATTGCATTTTTGGAACGTGTAAAAGCAGATTTTAAGAAAAGATATGGCGGTGGTAAAGCAGATACAGCTGTTGCAAAGAGTCTAAATAAAGAATTCGGGTATGTTCTTTTGATACTAGGAGCCGTTCTTATCTATGACTCTTTATATTTCTTTTCATTTAATTTAAATTTTTATTTCTGAGTAGCAACAATAACAATAAATATGTAGAAATTTACAGACCTGTTATGAAGGAGCACATGAAGTATATAATTGAGCATGCAGATGAAATCGAGAAACTACTAAAAGTCAAGGCTCAGGTCTCAGAAGTCAAAAGTGTTATGCTCGAGAATATAGACAAGGTATGGCAAATAAACTTAGGCTCTATTTGGTACTAAGAATTAGTTCGGAATGGAATCATGATTATGACCTCAAATTTTATTCCCGTGTTTGGTTGGTATGTTAGTTTCATTGGAATAAGGAATCAATATTCCATCTGTACCAGTTTTGTTTAGGTACATGGAAGGAATGGTGAGCCCTAGTGAAGAAGGAATCGAGATATATTTTCTTTGGCTCGAACTACTTTGATGAAGTAATATCAATTCCCTTCTATGTTCCCAATTCTAGCATACCAAACAGAGCCAACCATAATTCAACTTGTAATTGTTAATTTTGGTAACCACAGAGTTCTTTGGTTATCTAGTTACCATATCCTTCTTAAAACCAATTGGTGACAAGTAGGTGGACATTAACCAGTTCGGCTGATGCCCAACATGATCTACACTTCAACACTGTCATAAATCAAATTTGTTCAATAATTTTGGTAACCACAGAGTTCTTTGGTTATCTGGTTGCCATATCCTTCTTAAAACCAATTGGTGATAAGTAGGTGGACATTAACCAGTTCGGCTGATGCCCAACATGATCTACACTTCAACACTGTCATAAATCAACTTTGTTCAAGAAGTCCCCATTGTGCATTGGATGTGACGTTTAGTCAATCTTTATTATCGTCTGGAAATATTATATTGTTCTAATGATACACTTGCACTTCTATAGCCTTTCTTAAATGTGGATAGTGCCTTTTCGTTTACAATACGTAGAGCAATGCAAATGTTTCTTGTCCACCTGACGTCTTTATATGTTCCAGACTATTGAATGAGGGGAGAACTTGACTATACTTACCAACAAGGCAGAAGATCTACATAATTCGGTAGGGTTACCTGTATTTTTTGACAAAATATCCTCCAAAAACATGTAACGAGTTCAGTAAACATCTCCTTTGCATTATCTTATTTCCAGGCCAAACAATTCAAGAAACAGGGGACAGAAATCCGTCGCAAGATGTGGTATTAGAACATGAAAATAAAGTTGGTCGTACTGGGAATCATCGTCTTTTTGGTACTCATAATCTGGCTTTCTGTTTGCCACGGCTTCAACTGCACCACTAGCATATCTTTCGCTTAGAACTCGACCAACTCGATTCATTTCCAGACAGGACACTAAAAACACGTCATGCTACACCCGGCAACAGAATTTCCTCTAAAAACATGGACTGCCTAGACGTCTTAGAGTGATGCGCTTTTAGATTCTGTTAAGCACTTTCTTTGTGCTTTTATTCTTGATTTTTTCTTTGGAAAGGAATAGGGGAGATTGAGGTTTGTTGTGGTGTTGGAATAGTGTATTGTTTAGGCCATGGGATGAGATAAGATTGTAAACATGGTTTAGATTTGAAGAGTACAAGGATGTTTGATGAAATAGAATGAGATACAATTCAATTGTATATTATATATGTATGATCAACAGACTACTATAATAGAATATATACACTACAACAAGAATAGACAAAAGGTGCAATCTAGTTTAGCTGCTTTGTTTCTTGATTTTAGTTAATAAAGAGTGGTGAATTTCATTCTTTGGTCTACATTATTTTCCATGACTTTTTTATGGTGAAATTGTAATTTCATTCTCACCAAATTTCATGGAATTTACAATTTCATTATTTGGTTGGAGAATTTTTTTTTTTACAGAATTGCAATTCTATCCAATTATGGTATGGTAATTCATAGGCTTTTTTGGAATTGCAATTTTACAAAATCAGAGTCCACGAAATTGAAATTTCACAGTTGTTTATTATTATTATTATTATTATTATTATTATTATTATTATTATTATTATTATTATTATTATTATTATTATTATCAAGAACATTCTAGTCTTTACTCACTCTTTTCTTTTAATTCTCTGTAATTTTATTTATTTTATCAAACATGGTATTTGAATTTCTACTTTATTTGGCTGAAAGTTAAGAATTTATATATTTTTTTATTTGGTTCATTTTCTTGAACATGAACATATTATTTGTTTTATAATAATAATAATAATAATAATAATAATAATAATAATAATAATCTACAATTCTAATAAGAGCCAATAATGTTAGGCCCTTAACTGGAACAAAAAAATGTCGGTCTTATTGTTTCTTAAAATGAATGGTTCATATTATTTTTTATTTTAGTATTTTTTATTGATTTTCCTTATTTACCCTCTATTATATTATTTTCTTCCCTTAAATAACTTAAATTCCGTTAGTATAAACTTTAGTAACGGAATATTCCGTTAAGTATTTATTATTTTAACTTACACATTAATTTCTATAAGAAAAGTCTTAGTTTTGAACCACATCCTAATTAGAGTTGGCATAATTGTTAAACATATACTACGAATATGTTAAAATATATTTAAAATATATATAATATAAAATTTAACATAAACTTTGTTCAAATAATTAGTCTGACTAAATACATAACATTCAAAGTTAAGCATCAAAGATTATAAATCAAGAACTTTAAAAATCATTTGATCAGAAAAAAACTTAATATTCTTTTGATTATTTAGATCAGAAAAAAATTTAATATTTCAATTATACTTTTGCATTAATATTTTTTGTATGTATTTTTTTAGTCTGACTAAATACATAACATTCAAAGTTAAGCATCAAAGATTGTAAATCAAGAACTTTAAAAATCATTTGATCAAAAAAAACTTAATATTCTTTTAATTATTTAGATTAGAAAAAAAAACTTAATATTTCAATTATACTTTTGCATTAATATTTTCTGTATGTATTTTTTTTTAAATCAATGATTGCATTATTGTTGATGAAAAGTATATACGCCACTTTATTACTCTTATTAAACTAAATAAAGTAGTAGCTACAACAAAAAAAAATACATATCCATTTAATTAATTTTGAATTAGATGTCTATAATGCCTTTATTTTTAAAAAAAAATTATTCATTATAAAAAAATTTAAAAATAGATATAATTTCATTAGTTATATTATCTTTATTTTCTACAATTCAAATATTCATTACCTTCAAATTTATCAATTTATTATATTTACTGCATTGTCCATTGTCTTCTTTTTACATTATCTTGTAATTAAATATCAAAGTTATAATACAAAATACATTATATATATATATTTATTTACCAAGTATTTTATACAAATATAAAAAAAATATTAATATTTTGTTCAATACTTTCACATGATAACCTACGACACACATCTCACAATGCATGAAACATGTAGGGAAAAATTACCACTACCAAATATCGATTAGAAAATTCAATAAATATTATCTTGCATTTATATATTTTGAATTACCGATTTAAATAAATAAATTCATTATTTATTTACATATGCATGAACATCTCCGATATGCATGTCCACCTTGCTAGGTGGACACGGTTCCATAGCATAATTTGCCCACTTTATTGCTCTTAAACTAAATAAAGTAGTAGCTACAACAAAAAATAATACATATGCATTTAATTAATTTAGAATTAGATGTCTATAATGCATTTATTTAAAAAAAATTATTCATTATAAAAAATTTAAAAATAGATATAATTTCATTAGTTATATTATCTTTATTTTCTACAATTCAAAGATTCATTACCTTCAAATTTATTAATTTATTATATTCACTGCATTGTCCATTGTCTTCTTTTTACATTATCTTGTAATTAAATATCAAAGTTATAATACAAAATACATTATATATATTTATTTACCAAGTATTTTATACAAATATAATAAATATTAATATTTTGTTCAATACTTTCACATGATAACCTACGGCACACATCTCACAATGCATGAAACATGTAGGGGAAAACTACCACTACCAAATATCGATTAGAAAATTCAATAAATATTATCTTGCATTTATATATTTTGAATTACCGATTTAAATAAACAAATTCAATATTTATTTACATATGCATAAACATTTCCGATATAATATTGCGTTGATATACTTTGAAATATTTATTTAAAAATAATCATTGGGCATTATCCCATTCGCGCAAAGCGCGTAAAAAAACTAGTAATAATAATAAGTGGTATGGTGGTGGTCTATGAATATTATAGCCTTAGCAATGACTTCTAAATTGTGGACGAATTTGAGTTAGTTTTTTATTTTGATATTTTAAATTATGGTATATTTGAATGTAAACTTATTCGGATATCATGTGATAAATTTTATCTAAATCCTAACCAAATTCTAAATCCTTATTCAAAATGGCAAAATCTGAACTACCTCTTTTAAGATTGACTCTAATTCAAAATCAAAACCGAATTGATAACCACATCCGCTTCTAGGTAAGGTTAATGCCAAACTATTATATTTTTTTTGAATGTTACTGACTCTATTACATTGTAGTATCTGTGCAAATATACTTTCTCAACCTAATGAAGCGCTCAACAACGCCAAGCTATTATATAAAAGTAAAGTTTATTCATTTTTAAATAGTAGTTGTGGATTTTTCTTGTCACCCACAAATAGGAGAAAACAAAAATTGGGAGCAGGGTTTGGGCAGAGACAAAATTTGGAACAATGTATATTTGAAGTATTGTGGATTAGAAGTTGTTGTCAAAAACAATATTATATCACCCCATATGTTTAGAATTTGTTGGCATTGTTTGGTTGTTTAACAGTTGGTTCACCGGGCAGTAAAATCGTAATAAACGTGAGTATTTTCCATAACTATATACTACAATTTGAGAAAATAAGATTTTATTATTTTTCCATAACTATATACTACAATTTGAGAAAATAAGATTTTATTATTTTTTGGAAGTTACTGGCTCTATTACATTGTAGTATCTGTTCATATACTTTCTCAACCCATTGAAACACAAAGAACCAATAACGCCTCCACTGAGGCTTGAACTCATAATCTTTCAAATGAAAGTCCAACCCGAGTACCATTAGACCACATAGTCCTGGTAATCGATAAAAAGTTAATTTCACCAGAGGTCGCTTATCTTTTCTGACAATTTCAAATTTAATCCTAGACTATAGTTATTAATTATTACGATTTATTCTATGTTATAATTCTTACGTTAATATTCTTACTATTATTAACACTTAATTACTTTTAAATATTATTTTTACCACTTATATTATTATATTATTATTATTATTAATAATAATATTATTGTTATTAGTTTCTTTTCAAGTTTTGTTAGTATATAAAGGACGTGAGTCACATAATAATAATATAACCATAATTAAATATTCTTGTATTGTATTCCGTGAGTCACAAGAATAATATAACAATAATTAAATATTCTTCAATTCTAATATTCTTCTAGGATTTCTATTACCATCATTAATTATTCCATAATTTACCATAATTAAATAATTTGACCAATTATAAAGAGAGATTATCAAATAATGCACGGGACAATTTTTTAATTAAAAAATTTAAAAATTCATTAATAAAACATAAGGTTCTCATAGTTTTTACTTTGAAACTATTTAATAAACCATTTTTTTTAAAGAAATTGGTGGGTCAAACAGCCTACGGCAGTTTGCGGTGGATAGATCTCGAAAAAATACGCGATTTCAAAAAAACATTTGTTCAAAACGGACAACCGAGTCAAAAATTATGCCTTGCCGAACTTTTGACAAATCACAACTTTAGCCCAGAATTATTGTACGAATGGGAAAGTAGAAATCAATATATTTTATTGGGAAGAGAGATTTTTTAGGAATTGGGCGGGAAGTTAAAATTCCAGGATTTTGTTATTATATATAGTATAGATAGTATAGATGTACAAAGGGAATTGCATTACACTATTTTAAAATTTTAGAATAGAATTTTTACCCAGAATTATTGTATGAATGGGAAAGTAGAAATCAATATATTTTATTGGGAAGAGAGATTGATAGTGTAAATTGCCACGTAAGCAGTAATGAACACAAGTCCGACCGAGTAAAGCAGGTAAACTTTATAGATCGGGTGAAAAGACCTAAGTACAATCTAGATAGCTGCTCGGGTGCCGACTGAATGCGGTCGGGATTCTCTGATAACAGCTTATCGATCGTCCAAAAGATCCTCTCACCGTCGCAATGGCGGGTATTTATAGACGCGACGCAGGGGACACGATCCGGGCTTTCTGGCCAGCCCGACGCGTGGCTTGGACACGTGTCGTCCCCTCGGACGTCTTGCTGTCCCCGCCAAGTGCTGACGCGTGTCTCTCCTCAGCTTCTGTCCAAGGGTGGTCGGTCGGGAATTTAACACTCTGATCGGGTAACACCCGGTCAGGAACCGATCGGGTTCTTCCTGAGATTCCCGCCCTGTGACCTGCAAAAAGTGGAGGAAAGAGACAAGATGGGTCGGTCGGGTAGGGCCCAGGGCAGTCGGGGTATACCCTATCAAGAGCCCCCCAGCCCGGGCCTTTTTGACCGTCCGGGATAAAACAGGACGGGATGAAGAAGCCCAACCGTCGGCCGTCTAACCCGACCGGACAGCTGTCATTCTTTCCCCCGCCACGTGTCGACGACTGGAGCGGCCGCCTCGGAGTCAGCGCTAGGCGTGTCGCGTAAGCTGGCCCGTT